TTCCACATTTTCAACAGGTCGCATTTTCGCCTATTCAAACATTGTCTTGATTATGTTAAACAATGAGAGTCGTTTTAATGTTGTTATTGGTCTACAGGCATCCTTTGCTGGAGTTTATGTTGGTCGATTTTACCCTTCTCATATGCTTTTCACACATATTTTAGTTCAGTAAAACAACTACATGCGGCTTTAATTTATTTCCTACTGTGCACTTACCACGCACCCGAATAACATACGTCGCGCCTTAATCTAGCCCCCGGGGTTCGTCCAGCGCATCTACCACGCAGCCCGCTTAGGGGGTATATGAACACTAACCAATGAGGGCCTTACAACATACGGTTGCGGTGAAATTCCAGTCGCAGTGTGAGTGCGGAAGTCGTTCACCAAGGAAACGCAGTCAAGCGCGTGCGCATGTGCCCACTTCGTTTGGGGGATGTCTTTATGCTGTATCCGAACGGCTTAAACGTGGAAATCATTTCATCCCCCTAAGGATTGGGATATGGATGGATGGGTGGGGAACATGTAAGTTCATGTGTGACTGACGTTGACCAAGCTACTCTTATCGAAAAGCGGAATGTCCGACGGTCAGAATAAATCGACGATTCCTCCTGTTGTTATAGGTTCAATTCTCATTCCCTTTCCAATAGCGTAGGATCAACCGCTTAAGACGGATACTGAACCAGATAATCGTGGCAGGCAAGGTGCCCACACATTTTTAGTCTACTGGTAAACGACCAATCAAACCCCTTTTGAAACGATTATTGAAGATAATGAGTCATTTCAAGAAATGTTATTTAGTAGGGAGGACAACTTTACTGCGTAGAAAAAATTGATCATACCAAAACTGCGGCACAGTGTTTAGTGACTTAGGTAATTATTTACCACATGGGCGGTACAGATACTGGCTAAAAGTCCACAAACTTGTTTCGCAGATATTCTGCCACTGCATGGCACAGCTACAATTTGAGTAAGTCCAGTCGGGAATGTCTAAAACTAGACGGTATCTTAATACCTCACGCATACGTATATAGAGGGGGTAGGATCATTGCCAGTCGGATAAAACGAAACTCACTTTCAAAGTGGATGAATCCGTCTATCTGATCGATTTGAGCAACGAGCCGACCTTCACCAATCATATGGGCGGCCACTGTTTCAGCCTACAGGGAGAAATACAAAGGACTGATGGTGAACATGACCTGCGGAAAATGCAAGCCTTGTAACACTCCACAATGTGTATAAAAAAGCCTACTTATAATGCAACAGTAGCAAGAATTATTAAATATAACATGTTGCGTGTGGAATCGGCAAGGTGCGCACGATTAAGAAACAAGAGATGAATGAAGAGGTAAATTGTAGAGCTCTCGGACACAATCACTCGCAGGGCCTTGTGATTCAACCGTGATTTTAGCAAGCTAATCGACATTTTCCAGGTGCGTTACGCGACGAAGAAAATAACTTACTCTAGCACTGTTTGACAGGTGTCATCTAGGGAGCCCCTGGCACCATGGTAATCACGAAAAGGATCCCTCCAATGTACTAGGCCAGCGACCATAAATAAACAATGATTTGGCGTGAGACAGAAAACTGCTCGGTTGACACTGAGGGTAAACAGAGAGGGAAGATACGGTTGGCAGTCGCTTTGTTTAGAGCCAACCTACCCGACTGGCATCCACTTCCAGCAGTTCACCCAAGTTGCTGAGACTGATGTTGTTGTAGATGAGGCTGGCTGCCAGCATATTGTGCTCCACGGTAACGCGTTCCAGAATGTTCTGGATGGGTCTAGCGGAAGCGGATGTGGTGGGCGTTTCACCGCCGGCACCGGGCGCTGTAGGTTCCACCGTCGCATCTTGCCCTCCTGCGTCCATGGCGGTGGTATCCTCGGTTTTGCCACCAAAGAACAGTTGTGGGTAGTACTTGATGAAGAGCGGCTCAAGACTCTGTAGGCAGTTACGACTGATGAGTCGACGCATGTACCTGTGGGAGGGAAACAAGGCAGATGAGGACTACATTCATTAAAAGATTGGTGATGAGCTTGCTCGTCCCACCGACTACACGGATCAGCAGATGTGATATGAACTATTACGCAAAGTCGCGGCAGTAGTATTCAGGAGTTTGGGCCAGACACATGTGGCAGCTGTTTCGTGACGCAGCCCTTGTACAGCTCATTTTCTGACAGAAAGAAGCTGGTACAGTCTACTCTGTCTTCCCCGTATTTTATTTTGGAAACACTGTGTTCGACACAACCACCTACGACACCCGTTCTCTGTATACTGATTAGTTGGTGAGATACTAATGCTACTGAAATAAATTTAGTTTGTTTATTTATGTAAGTGGCATGCGGATATTTTCTTACCTCTGTCATTTAAAACATGGTTACACAAATGCACTAACTGAAGTTACGGCACTGTGGGCGCATACAATTCCTCTGTACTTAGATGCACTTGATGCCAATTAACATGAACACTGATTGCGCAACGGCAGAAACTTGAATGGACTACGAAGGCAACAGGTTCGGCGCAAGTCAAGGTGCGTATTCATGCCACTCACTCGCGAACAAACATGCCAACTGGTAAAATTGCCCAAGAGCCAAGGGAAATAAGAGATGACGTCTCAGAATGGACTCAGTGTTCTGTTCTCGAAAGTATTTTGATGACAATCTAACCAGCCAGCCTTTCAGTTGTACGTCGGGTCCGATGGGAGGAGAGATGAAGACAACCAAAAAACACCAAGTAACGTCTGTAAGGCAAAAAAGGGACAACAACGCACTACCAATGAAAACATTTTCGAGGTTTAACCGTCTCAGAAATACCAAGCCAATTAGCCCGTGCCTCACCCTCTCAAGATGAACCGTTTGGTTATGTATTGTGAGAAGAGTTGCAAATAACGCCGAAGAGGGCACCTGCAGTCAAGTTTTTGTGACTGAACTGTTTGATCAAACGTTAGAAAAAGCATTCCACATAGCCTCGTGATGGCAGACCACGCCTAATGCTGAGATGCAAGGACAAACCGGACAGGGACTCGCGCAGTATCGGAAGGAATAAGCAGAAGAAGATTACCGACAAAGATCAGACAGATTGGAATGACCACTTCTGGCTTATTAACCGTCATCAGCTAGCCATACCCAAACGCAGGTGTTGCACTACCCATGGCTCGAGGGAAATAACCACCTAGGATTCCAACTACGGCTCTAGTAGACCAGATTTCAATGCAGAGGAAAGAAAAACAACTGTAATGATGGCGAAAGTCTGGTTGCAGCGCCAGTAACTTACATCTTCTCGAGGATGGGATAGGCCTGTAGGGACTGACAACGTTCGTCTTTGTACAGTGTGGTCAGTAGACGAGCCCTCTGTTGGCCTACACCGGCCAACAGCGCGGAGAGTAGAGCTCTCTCGAGAAAGGCCATCTTCTCTGACTCCTGCAGCCAGGGGAAACGAATCGAGAGTTCAGCGTAGCGCTGACCGGCCTCGAGGAACTTCTGCTTGAAGTCCAGAAGGCGCGCATAGGCAGACTACAAGGCGAAGCAAACAGTTACTTTATCTTGAGGACTTCAAAAGAGTGGTTAATTTTTGGCAAAAAGCATATGTTGCAATGTGTAGTGACCCCATTCCGCGCGCAACGCTCGCCTCTCGTAGCTGCTCGCACTTGCGCATGCACCAGTGTCTGCCTATTCCCATCTGGTCTGGCCAATCACCTTCAAGAGAGACTCTCACATGACCTCAGTGTGACGACTGTCGCGCTCTAACACGTCGGATACTGCCTGTCTCGCGTG